CTCTGCCTAACCCTGCTGCACACAGACAGAAGCCCTGGCACAGGAGATGTTAGTTCCAGTGGTGGTGAGAGGATTGCATATGGTCCTCCCACCCTTGTCCTCCACCTGCCAGCTTTCTCTGTGCTTATGTGTTTATGTGTAGGTGTATGTGTGTGGACCAAAGGGGTGGAGACCAAGTTCTGATGGGGTAAGCAGGTGGTGGGGGCAAAAGCTAAGAGCGGAAGGGACCCAGGCTGGAGGAGGCAGGGCACGGGGGCACAGGATGTGGTCTGTGAGAGAATGAACCACACTTCTCCTTTGCTAAAACAGCCCCTCCCCCACCTCAGGACTCTTCCTACTATCGGCCTCCTGGGAATGAAATCCAAGGGGTATCAGGGACTTAAGCCATAAGGAATATGCAGAAAGAGCTCAGAGAGCAAGAGGGACAGGTTCATACTGATTCAGGCAGCAGAGTGCTGAAGCTTTCAGTCTGCATTGGAGGGCAAAGAGAGGTGGAGAGCAGGGTATTGGCAACTCTATGTTCCTGTCACTTCCCCTTTCTGCCCCAGTGTATGAGCAACTTCTTTGAGAGAGGGGACAGAGGAAAGAATTCTCGGCAAGACAGACCCCACCTGGTCTAGAACCTGGGCCTGGAAGGGACTGAGGATTCCTGTGTGGACAGCAGGGCAGAGAAGGATCTCAGGAAGCTGGGATCTGCCCACTCTATCCTCTATCACACAAGCAAACTCAGAGGAGCACTGACTGCACCCTAAGCCGGAATGTGCTGGGAAGGACAACAGGAGGGGTAGGACCTGGGAGGGGCCGGGGAGTTCTGGGTAGTTTTCCCCAAGAGTCCACTCACTGAGATAGAGCCCTAGGGAAGTAAAGAATAACATTTGGTCTTTGTCAAAAAACAAGCAAGGGGGGAGGGGTAAGGGAACAGACAGCCAGTGTCACACAGCTGCCGAGGTCAATCTGGAGCTAGTGGTTGGGGGTGGGGGGACTAAGAAGGATGGGAATAACTCCTAGGGCTCACTCATTCCCTGAACTCACTAATCAAGTACTAGAAAAGACAAGTGGAGAGGATTAAACGGGCCCTCCCCAGAACAGTAGGGGAAAGAAAATGTCTGTGCCTGCTTGAAAGTGCAGGTGAGCAGGCACCTGCTTGAGGCTAAACACATTCCTGCTTCCAGCCCCATGCCCCCCAACCCCAGGATGAGAGGAGGAGGCCTCCTTACCTCCCAGACTGGGCTGGGGTGGGGCTGGGGAATGTGGTCCTCCTCCTCTCTCCTGATCCTCACCCTTCAGCTGCCAGGCAAGGTCATAGGCTGCCTCCTGAGCAGCTGAGGCCTGACTTACCTGTCATAAAAGACAGCCCCCTACACCCCATCCCCAGACACAAGGATGGAAGGAACATGATTAGAGGGATCCTGCTAGTGAGGGAGTGGAAGCATAGTTGCTGGCTGAGCAGCACTCCCACCTAGAAGATTAAGATTTCCTTCCTTTCTGCAACTGCCTCCAGTACCTCCCCTGAGGAAAGAAACTGAAATGGGAATTCTAGGCTCCCCATGAGGTCACAGTCTCCAAAGTGACCTCACACAGCAGGAAAGAGGAGGAGTCTCAGATAAGGGGGGGGTGGTCAGGGATAATAGGCAGAAGAACTCAGGGAGAAAAGAGTTTGGGGAGGTATGCTTGCTTCTTTCCCATAAGCTGGCTCTGTGAAAAGTGAGAGGGCAAATAACCTTAGTGGGTGGGTCTACAGCAAAGTAAGCAGAAACATCAGGTGTGAAGGGCAATCCATGGGAAAGGGGTGCCCTAGGCTGCTCGGATCTCAGTGGAACGGGGGAAGGAGTTGGAGACGAGGAGGAGTGAGAGAAATGAGTGGTTAGAGGAGCTCCTCGGGGATGCTTTAGGGGTCCATCAGAGCTGAGGTTGAAGAGGTCATGCAAATGAGGCAAGCAGGTGAGAGGCTGGCCCATTCTACAGGTGTGCAGATATGCAAATTAAAAGAAGAGTGGGGAATCTCTCACAACGCTGGGCCTGAGACGCTGGGCGTTCTGCGCAAACTAGAAGTACTTCACGGTCTAGTGGTTCTTAAAGCAGGGAAGGGGTGGTCGCAGGCCTATGAGGAGCCGACGGCCAGGTGAGGGGGCGGGCCAAACTCGACAGCTGGGCGGGGACCAAGAGGGGCGTGGCTATGTAAATGAGGGTCCCAGTCGGCCCGGGCCCGTGCGCACTTACCAGCCTGGGTGATGTCTGACAGGTCGTAGCTTCGGGCCGCGCCCCGGGGGAAGTGCTTCAAGCGTCGGTTAGATAGGTTCAGGGTTCCAGTGGCCACGGCCTCCTCTAGGGCCCGCTCTGCACTGCGGCTCCCGGGCAGACCCGGAGACCCTGGCACGGAGGTCGTGGCCGCCGCTTCCTCACCACCCGCAGCAAGAGGTGCCACTACCGCCGCCGCCATCCGCTCCCGGCGGCTCCTGCCGCTTGACTGACGGGACCCACCGTCCCTCCTTCCCTCTCCCCCTCCCCCTCCTTGGAGCCGCCGTAGTCGCCTCAAGGGGGAGGAAGTGCGGGACAGGGACCCAGCGGACCAATCGTGGTCCCGAGATACGTCAGAAGCGGCTAATCAGAATCTGCCGGATGGGTGGGGCCTCCGGCACTGGAGTCTGGCGAAAGAAGGGAGGGGGTCTAGACTGGAGCGCTCGCCAACGGCCGTCGCTCCAGGTTGGCCCGCCCCGCGCAGCCGCATCCAATCACAATGCTTAGGGCTGGAGTTGGAGCCAATCAAGTCCAACCAGGAGGCGGGGGTGCCGGCGCTCAACTAGAAACGCTAGAAGCCGAAAGAACGCAGTCAGGGAGCGCGTAGCCCTCTTCCAAGGAAGACCAATCGCAAGCAAGATACAGGGAAGTGACTGTCAAGAAGACCAATTAAGTCGTCCAGAGGGAACCTGGCCCGGCCTCTTCTGTGAGGGACGGCTCTACCTATCAATAACATGGGCGAGAAGGCGGTCCCTTCGCTAAGGAGGAGGCGGGTGAGCTAGAACTTTGAGGCTGAGGTAAAGAATGGAAGCGCGGCACGCTGGGCTGGCTGGGAATTCAGACAGGGCTGGAGTAGCAAGTTGGACGTGTTAGGGAGCTAGCCAGCATCAAAGGTGTGAGAGAACTTGAAGGGAGCCGGGTGACTGCCTGAAGCTAGGGCGCAGGCGGTTGTCGCAGCCCTAGGGGTCGCGCAGGCCACTTCCGGCTGCGGAGGCTCTCGGGACCCCCGGGCTGTGGGAGGGCTGGCGGCCTTCCAGAACCTGGAAATTCCCAGCTTACGCAGGGAGGAAGTATGTAGACCAGAGGAGCTACCTTGGGCAGGATTGAGATGGCCACACCTGGGAACAATCACTTAGAACCAGCCTGTCGATTTGCGAATGTAGAAACTGAGGCAGAGGGACGTCCATGAGTTAAGCACAGCAAGTTCCTGACAGCTGGCCTAGAAGCCAGGTCGCAGTCCTTCACACGGAGCCTTTCCACACTCCCTCAGCTTTCTTAGGGGACTTTTTCTACTCACCACCTCTTGTTCGCCTCCTGGGGTGAAATAGATAAAGGGGGCCCAAATGCAAGAGGAAGCAGAAATACTTTTTCTGTCTACTTGGCGGTCTTCCTTCAAAGTGGCGTAAGTCCCACAGTCCCCTTAGTATATTGATACTTTACATAGTAAGCTAGTATGTTGATTGTCCAGTCACAAGAACTTTCCTAAGTCATATCTCAGATGTTGATATTCCTAAACAGTTACTGAATTACTAAAATTGCATCTTAGGATATCCCAACCTTGCTCTTTACCAGTCACCATACATAAAGGAGTTTGATTGGGTAGCCAGTCTGTTAGCGCAGTGAATGGATGAATCTGTAATACCTGCAGGGAGGCCTAGTTGTCCAGCAGGATCAGGTTCCTTTTAGCTCCTGAAAGAGCCTGCTAGTCCTTGGATTTGCTGATGCAGATCTTCTGGAAGTGGACAGGCCCAACCCCAACTCTTGCTGTTTCTCCTCATAAATGTCATCACCCATAAGACAGAAGCAACTAGCAAAGACTCTAGAAAAGATCCTAAACTTTTCAGAGCAAATCCATACTTCTACTGTCCCCAGGAAAGCTTTCTGCTTTTGGATGTGTTTTTCAGCACATCCAAACTTTATAGGCATAAAGTTTGTACTGAATTGTCCCCACTGTCACCTGGTGCATGCTTTTGTGAGCTAAGCGGTCTTTAGTACCTTTCTCTCTCACCTGCCAAACTGAGTTTATACTCTTGAGCTACAAATCTCTGGAGACCCCAGCCTCCTAAGACTTGAAGAATTCACCAGTGTTTCTCTACAGAATTAGTGCTAAGGCTCAGCGCCTGTGGCTGTGGGTTCGAATCCAGCCTGGGCCCGCCAAACAACAATGATGGCTGCAACCAAAAACTAGCCAGGCGTTGTGACAGATGCCTGTAGTCCCAGCTACTTGGGAGGCAGAGGCAGGAGACTCGCTTGAGCCCAGAAGTTGGAGGTTGCTGTGAGCTGTGATGCTACAGCACGCTACCCAGGGTGATAGCTTGAGGCTCTGTCTCAAAAAAAAAAAAAAAAAAAGAATTAGTGCTAAAAGGGCCTCAAGGCCTCAAGTGGGAAAACTTCTTACTACTCTCTGAAAGAAAAGGCATCATTGACCAGTAGTTCACACTTTATTTCTCCAATAGAATGCATGTCCCTGGCGCCATGGGAAGGCTAGAAATGAGTTAGAACCCAGAAGCTATCTAAGAGATAACATCCTGAGCAAGGTTGGGAATAGGTCACAGTGGCTGGACAGTGAGGTCACAGAGAGATTTGTTTGCCCCAGACTCCATGGGGGAGGGGCCTAGGAGGCAGAGGGGCCTTGAGGTCCCCCAAGCCCAGGCAGGGGACATGGTGTGGGAAAAGCAGCAGGGACAGGGGCCAGGGAGCCAAGTACAGGGGGCCAAGGGGCCTGGAGAGATGAGGGCAGGAGCAGGGAGGGGGCAGTCAGGATGGTGAGGAGAAGCCGGAGACGGAAGCTGCCAAAATTCACCACCGGGCTGTGCGGACGGGAGGAGGGGCTCAGGGTGAGGGAGGTGGCTACAAGAGATTGGGGAGGGGTTAGAGAAGCTGGGCCAAGGAACAAGGCAGACAGGGAGGGATGGCTCATGGACCTGGAAAGAGAGATGGGAGGATTTGACAGCACCAAGCTGGAGTCAGATGAGCCCAAGATAGGTGTTAATGAAAGACAGGCTAAGAAAAGAAAAGGTGGGCCCTCACAAAGCCCCTGTGCTCCCCTTTCTCCTTGGGTAGGTGAAGCGGAGCTGCCCTTCTTGTGGCCCAGAGCCTGGGGGTGAAGAGAAGGGGAGAGGGAACCCAATTTCTTTCCAGTTGTTCCCCCCAGAGCTGGTGAGTCCTAGGGGATGTTGAGAATAATAGGACTGGGGGCCCAACCATTGAGGGGCTACTGATGCCCCCCACTTCCTCCCTCCTGTTCCCAGGTGGAGCACATCATCTCATTCCTCCCAGTCAGAGATGTAGTCGCCCTAGGCCAGACCTGCCACTACTTCCACGAAGTGTGCGATGCTGAGGGTGTATGGAGACGCATCTGTCGCAGGCTCAGTCCACGACTCCGAGAGCAGGGCTCTGGGGTCCGGCCCTGGAAGAGAGCGGCCATTCTTAACTGTACACCTTCCCCAGAGCCTCCATTTCTCCTGGCCTCTGTTCTACCTAACTCTCTGCTCTATAAAGTTGCTTGATGACCTCTGCACTCCCAACCAACCATCTAGGGCCCTTTTCTTTGAAGTAATGTCTCCAATTCAAACATACTCTGTGGAGTACTTCTTCCAAGACTCTGGAACCATCCTCCAAAAGATGCCCCACCCACAGCCTCCATTAGCATTCCTGCCAAGCTGCCCTCTATATTCAAACTCTTAACCAATCTTACCCTGTGCAGGCCCTATTTCGCAAACCTGGAGTTATCCCTCTTCTAAATGAGGGTTTCTCAACTGTGTCACAATTGACACTATGGGTAAAATAATTCTTTGCTAAAGGGGGCTGTCCTATGTGCTGCCAAGTGTTTAGCAGTATTTCTGGCCTCTACCCATTAGATACCAGTAGCAGCTCCCCTAGTTGTGACGACCAGTGTCCCCTGAAGGATAAAATCACCCACAACTTGAGAACCATGCTCTAAACCCCTTCCCCTCCAGGAAGCCCCTATCCAGTTATTCCCTTTCAGTGAGAGAAGAGGGTTCCAGATAGCAGATCTAGAGCGGGAGGTGACAAAGGGTGACTGGCCTTCCTTAGTCATTCCTTTCCCCTCCTCTTGCTGCCTCTTTTCTGTGTCTTCATTTTATTTCTCTTGATGTCTCTGAGGGAGGACCAAAGAAGTGGTTGGACAAGGAAGTGCTCACTAAGAAGCATATAGATGACCCTGGGCTGAGGTGGGGCAGAGACTATAGTTTATACGTGGGGTATAATCCAAATTTTCTTTCCACATCTCCTTTGGTAGGGGTCTGTAACTCAGTCCTGGGCATAGGAAGGAGTTAAATACTAAGGTGCCTAAGAAATCTAGTTTGCCCAAGCTCTGACTCATCTCCCTCATGTCATCCCATCCCTTGAATCTTCCATCTCCTTCCTCCTCCAGACACAAAAGGCCTGTATTTCCAGGCATTTGGAGGTCGCCGCCGATGTCTCAGCAAGAGTGTGGCCCCACTGCTAGCCCATGGCTACCGCCGCTTCTTGCCCACAAAGGACCATGTCTTCATTCTTGACTACGTGGGAACCCTCTTCTTTCTCAAAAACGCCCTGGTCTCCTCCACCCTTGGCCAGATCCAGTGGAAGCGGGCCTGCCGCTATGTTGTATTGTGTCGTGGAGCCAAGGATGTGAGTGGTAGAATCCTGGCAGCTTAGAACCGAGGCCTCCTCCAGGGACCCAGGCCTAAGATGTCTTCCTCAGGACATCTGCCCTCCCATACCAGGATGAAAACAAGTCCTCATTTCCCAACCCAGGACCCAACTGTCTCATTTCCCACCTCAGGACCCAGTTGCCCCAGCCTCATGCCCATTCTTTTCCCACAGTTTGCCTCAGACCCAAGATGTGACACAGTTTACCGTAAATACCTCTATGTCCTAGCCACTCGGGAGCAGCCTGGAGTGGTAGGCACAACTGGCAGCCGGGTGTGTGACTGTGTTGAGGTCTATCTGCAGTCCAGTGGGCAGCGGGTCTTCAAGATGACATTCCACCACTCCATGAGCTTCAAACAGATTGTACTCGTTGGTCAAGAGACCCAGCGGGCTCTGCTGCTCCTCACAGGTGTGGCCAAAAGCAGTGGTTTGCAAATTGCTGCCCACATATTCTTCAGGACCTTCCTCTCAAGACCCCCGCCGTCAAGGGGCAGTAGGGGTGGGAGTGTGGGGGGAAGCCTCTCAGACAGGGTTCTGCATCCCACCTCATCTTAGTCTCAGCCCAGACAGCTGTGTTTTTGTCTCCCAGTCTAGGATTCTGCATAATGTTTCTTTCTTTTCTTTTCTTTTCTTTTTTGAGACAGAGTCTCACTATGTCACCCTTGGTAGAGTGCCATGGCATCACAGCTAACAGCAACCTCAAACTCTTGGGCTTAAGAGATTCTCTTTGATCAGCCTCCCAAGTAGCTGGGACTACAGGCACCCGCCACAAAACCCGGTTATGCATAATGTTTCATGTGAATAAAGGGCCTTGCTGGGAAAAAAAAAATTGTTTGGAAACCACTGCTCTAGTGAATGCCTGATTTTAAAAATTCTCATCTCCTCAACTTCCATGCCAGGCACTCACTTTATACTGAAAACTACTTCTCAGCGTCTCCTGTACTTGACCACATCCCCAAGCCTGAGACCCTCTGGATTTATGAATGCTAAGAAAGGCCCTAAATTCCTAGATGTGTCAGTCAAATTGAATTCTGCCAAATCTAACTGCTAAGTTTTCTTTCCCTCTCTTGCCAGAGGCTGGGGGACTCTTCCCTTATTTCATCTCTACTCTTTTTCTTTCCTCCTTAGTCTGGGACAGTAAATATTTCATCTCAAATAGCTTAGGGAGTCTGCTGGGACACTGTCATGGATATTGGAGAGTCCCCTTCCCAACATAATTGTCTATCTCTCCTCCTGACCCCCAGAGGAAGGAAAGATCTACTCTTTGGTAGTGAATGAGACCCAACTGGACCAGCCCCGTTCCTATACAGTTCAGCTGGCCCTAAGGAAGGTGTCCCGTTGCCTACCTCATCTGCGTGTGGCCTGCATGGCTTCCAACCAGAGCAGTACCCTCTACATCACAGGTAAGAACCACCTGCCTTCCTCTCAAGACCCCCAGCCTCAGACAGACCCTCCGAATACTGACACCCCTCACCCTCTTGCAAACTCTTTGATGAACACTTTAGGGCATCCTAGTGAGATGTGTTTAGGTTCCCAGGCATCATAGCTGATGCATTTCTAATGGGTGTGAGACTCCCTGGATCTTGCAGTTTTTATCCCAGGTGGGGTTTTATCCCTAGGAAATGGGTGCCCAAAGCTGCTAAGCTGAGGGCTCCTGACCCCCCAGACCAGGGGGGAGTGTATTTTGAGGTGCATACCCCAGGGGTGTATCGTGATCTCTTTGGGACCCTTCAAGCCTTTGATCCCCTGGACCAGCAGATGCCACTTGCTCTCTCACTGCCTGCCAAGGTAGGATACTGGAGGGATGGGGCAGACTAGAGTTGTGGGGCTTCAGGGTTTGGAAGTACTGAGGGTTTGAAATATGAGCAGGAATCAAATGATTGATCAGGAGGGACAGGGGACTCAGGGAAAGGGCAAACACAGAGGGCAAGGCCAAAAGGTTAGCTGGGGATGGTAGCTTAGTGGTTGGGAGATTCCAGAGCTAACTGAATGCCTACCTCCCTTTTCTATCTTAACCTCTTAGATCCTTTTCTGTGCTCTTGGCTACAATCACCTCGGCCTGGTGGATGAATTTGGCCGAATATTTATGCAAGGAAATAACAGATATGGGCAGCTGGGAACAGGGGACAAAATGGACCGAGGAGAACCCACACAGGTGAGACTACTTCCCAGCAACTCTCATCGGGACCCCTTTCCTCCAGTTTCCTAACCTGGATCTGTCCACTTCTCTAATTTCCATAGGATCCCCTTTCTACTCCCCAGGAGAGTTAACCCAGTCAATATGTAATGACTATGGAACTATTGCAGGTTTCACCCAGGGTTGGCACTGAGACATCAGGGTTCTGTGCAGTGTACTCTGTTAAGTGCAATGGGGATTTAGTGAAGGGTGGGGGGCCTGAATGGACTAGAATAACTAGGAGAGGTTAGATATGAGCATGGCCTCATGGGTTAGATAGGATTCAGGTGGGGTAGGGAAAGGCATTCCATGGGAATGGGGTCAGGAACAAAGCTTATATATACCTGGGACATTGACAAGATTGGCCTGACCAAAGCACAGAAGGAGTATTAGAAATCAGTGAGATATGGGGTGGTATAGATGGGCACAAGTCCAGAAAGGTATAGACTTGGGGAAGAGTTACTGCAAGTTCTGGAGCAGGAGAAGGCAGTCCCCGAGGGATGACTGAGAACATGTCAGCTGGCCTTAGTACACAGGAGATGAGAGTGGGAAGCCCACAAAGAGGCTGTTGAGTGATGGCAGCACTTGAAACAAGGGTCTGAGATTAGTATAATAGCAGCATGAATGGAAAGGAACAGATATAGGAGGTGTTTTTGAAGAAAATGACCAGACCCTCAGAATTGATTAGATGTAAGAAGGATATTAGGCAAAGCCGGCTCCTGAACAAAGATAGTATCACTAATAATGTGAGATTTGGAAAGGGATACTGGTTTGAAGGAAAAGGAGTAAATTTGGACTTCTTGCAGTGAGAGTAAAACACTGAATTGGAAATGTCTAGCTGGCAATTAGATTCCAAATTGGAATAAGGTAGAACGAAAAAGAAATAGAGATAAAGGAGGAACTCAGAGCAGTAGCCTCCCCTTCCCCTGTAGGCAGGAGATGACAAAGAGATGCTTCTGAGGTAGGAGGCACACCCCTCTAACATCATATCCCAGAAGCATGAAAGTAGGAAGTTTCAGACGGGGTGGTTAATGGTGACAGTGTGACAATGCAGGTATACATTTACTGGAAAGATGGTCATATGATATTTTTAGGTGAAAAAATATTTATGATGCCAGGTGTGGCAACTCACACCTGCAATCCTAGCACTCTGGGAGGCTGAGGTGGGTGGATTGCTTGAGCTCAGGAGTTGGAGACCAGCCTGAGCTAGAGTGGGACCCTATCTCTACTAAAAATAGAAAAATATAGCTGAGTATTGTGGTGGGTGCCTATAGTCCCAGCTACTTAGGAGGCTGAGGCAAGAGGATCACTTGAGCCCAAGAGTTTGAAGTTGCTGTGAGCTAGGACATCATAGCAATCTACCCAGGGCAATAACTCTTGTCTCAAAAAAAAAAAAAAAAAATTATGAAATGATTCACAAAGTATGCCCTATTTTTTTTTATAAAAACAATTTACATGAATTTGCTTAGGCAACAGTGAAGAATATCTAGCAAGATGTTAATAGTGGGTAGTGGGATTTCCAGTGATTTTTAATTAAATTTTGCTTGCCAATATTTTGTAATTTTTCTATAAGGACCATAAATTACTTATCTCTGTCTTCAGAATTAAAGCAAAGCACTAACAGTATCAGGAAAATGAGCATGTAGGAGAGGCCCTGGAATTTAGCATCTGGGAGGCCCAAGTACCTTTGGAGAGAATGTCAGTAGAATAGTAGGGAGAGAAGCTAGATCATAAGATGGTTCAGGAACTGGTGCTTCCTGACCTGGCTATGGTAAGGAAGAAGAATGTGGTTAGCCTCAAAGCATCCATGTAGCCAACCATGATGTTTAAAAGAGAGAGATAGGAGGTAATTGGCATCAAATGGAAATGTTTTCTCAAAACAGAATGGCCATTTTGGGAAAGAATGATGTGACAAATTAAAAATGCTAGAGAAGGGGGTGGCGCCTGTGGCCCAGAGGAGTAGGGTGCCGGCCTCATGTACCAGACAGAGGTGGCAGGTTCCTTCCCTGAGGCTGGAAGGCAAGATGAGAAGACTGGTGTAGACTCTCAGGCTGAGAACGAAGGCGTAGATAGCAGGCCCTGATTTCAGGTAAGGAGCTTATTTTGGAAGGAGCAAAGATGAGGGGCCAACAGAAGTACAAAACCTCACTCAGTCAGACTTTTGAGGCTGCAGGGGTCAGCAGACCTTGAGGGAAGGGGGTTCTGGTTCCCATTTCTTCCCTCCCTAGTTTATATTCTTTCAGAGCTTTCCAGGCAACCTTCACTGGGCTGGACCCCCCAGTCCCTTGGTGTCCCCTACTAAGGGATCCTGGCCATATATCTTCAGGTACATTATCTGCAACGCCCCATTGCCCTGTGGTGCGGCCTCAACCACTCCCTGGTGCTGAGCCAGAGCTCGGACTTCAGCAAGGAGCTGCTGGGCTGCGGCTGTGGGGCTGGGGGCCGCCTTCCCGGCTGGCCTAAGGGAAGTGCCTCCTTTGTCAAGCTCCATGTCAAGGTCAGAGCAGGGTTAGGCAAGTGGGCAACCAGGGAGGGCAGGAGCAGTCCCACAGGACTCTAGCTGGGACTCCTGCAGGGACCCAGGGGTCCCATTACCCCAGCACCATCCCACATCCTTTTTCTGCCACCATGTGGCAGGCTCCCTACCTTAGCAGACCCTGCTGGCCTCTACTGACCTCACATGACCCTGGGATTTAGCCAGCTATAGCTCACTTGCTGGTTCAGGGCTGGTCTAAGAGGGAAGAACACAACAGGTGGATTAGCCCAGGCTCCCTGGGACACCCCCCCCCAACAAAAGCTCCATTCAGTCACGCCCCTTCTCTCCTCCAAGGTCCCTTTGTGTGCCTGCTCCCTCTGCTCCACCCGAGAGTGCCTCTACATGCTGTCTAGCCATGACATCGAGCACCACCCCTCCTATCGGGACCTCCCAGCCAACAGGGTGGTGGGGACTCCAGAGCCCAGCCTGGGGGCTGGAGCACCCCAGGACCCTGGGGGGGCGGCCCGGGCCTGCGAGGAGTACCTCAGCCAGATCCACAGTTGCCCCACGTTGCAGGACCGCATGGAGAAGATGAAGGAGATTGTGGGCTGGATGCCCTTGATGGCTGCACAGAAGGATTTCTTCTGGGAGGCCTTGGACATGTTGCAGAAGGCTGCTGGAGGGGGAGGCTCAGGCCCCCCAACCCCTGAGAGCTGACCCCCCCCCCCAGCCTTACCCCTGGAGGGAGTCTGGCCCTGGGCCAGGGGTCTAAGGAGAGCTGGAGTGGCAGCAATGAACACTGTGTGTGCATGGGGTGGGGTTGCAGGGTGGTGGGAACTGCCAGACTTGCCAGGGTAGGGCAGGAAACTGTTTTGTAAAATGTTCGGGGGCTGCCCAGGAGGGGCCCCCCAACCTGACTATCATGGACAAGAGATTTGATGGACAAATAGAATAAAAGGCTGAAGCAAGGCCCAGTTTGGAAGCCTGGGACCTGGGAGGCACATGGGACAGGTGGGGGAGGGAGGGCAGAGCACCAGCAGCTCAAGTTCTTAGTTGTTGCAGAACTGAAGGCACCTGAACCGTCCAGCTTGTTGTCTCCTTCCTACTTACAAAAAGCCACTCAGCCTTTTTGACTTGGAAGTCCTGGCCCCACCTGGAACAACTCTGTCAGCCTACTTGTCCCCATTTGTATCATCCCCATCATAAGATGGCCACTTCCTTCTGACCATAGAAAGCATCCTGCTGCTTTCCGTCATTCTTGTGATGGCAGCCTCACCCCCCATCTTCCTGCTGTTACCTCCTGGATCTGGTCTCATTTTCCCTTTTCCCCTTACTCTTTCTGCCTGTTCTTCAGTTATAGGGACACTTCCTATACTATGCCTCTGTACCCCTCTCCTGTACTTTCAAATATTTGAGAGAAAAAAGAATGAGTAAAATTCTTTCTCTTTGGCCTAGCCCAGCCCAGGTGTGGAGAGAAGGCAGTAGAGGTAGGGTGGGGTGTCTGGGAAGGGGGTGAGTGATTAGGGATTGAGAGTGTAAAGAAGCACTTCCTCTGGTGCCTAGAAAGCAGGGAGTGGGGAGGTTCTGGCACTGGGGAGTCCTCAGAGAGGCCCAGAGGCTATATTTGCAGGATGCTTGGGGCACTGGACAGAGTAGTGTTCCAGATGACAGCACTTGATAACTAGATTATGGCCTCTGCTCCTCCTTACTCCATCTCCTACTTAGGTTAATATTTATGTGTCCTAGACCTAGAGCAGTCCCTGTCCCAGCTGTACTCTCCCTGTCCCGCCTTCCCTGCTGCCCGCCCCACTGGCCAGTCCCCACGCCCACACACCCCAGGCTCCCTCATCTGGCACTGATTATCCTGCTGCTGCTGCTGCCGCTGCTAAACTCAGCTGCTGCCTCTGTCTAGAGGACCCCAGCGCCTGCCCCCCAGCCATGCTGCCTGCTGCCACAGCCTCCCTCTTGGGGCCCCTTCTCACTGCTTGGGCCCTGCTCCCTTTCGCTCAGGGCCAGACCCCCAACTACACCAGGTAGGTCTCTTGGCATCTTCCAGATAGCTAGAGTGAGCTTCAAAACCCTGATTCCTGGGGGGTTATGCCTATGGATCTTACTGGTTCCTTTGCTGACACACCACCCCCAGATTTCCCACCATCCCACCCGTCTCTGACTCCATAGTCCTCATCTGCTGCCAAGACCATGGTCACCCACATGTCACCTCTGCTCTCATCCTTCTACCCTTCATCTTCTGGCCTCCTAAGTCTCCCCATCCACTCTGACCCTTGGCCTCCCTGGACCCTGAGAGCCAAGACTGAGCTTGCCTGGCAGCTAAACATATGGGTTCCAGGAAGGAATGAGAGACGTTGTTGGGGTGGGGGCAGAGAGTGAAGATTTGGGAGTCAGACACTCAAACAGTTAGCTAGAACAGGACAGGGTGAAGGGTGGAAGCACAAGGACCTGGCCTCCAGGTTCAACTTGAAGGCCATCATCACTGCTGCTGTTCCCTCATTGCCCCCTCCCACACTGCCTCGTGGCTGTGTCCACATCTGGAAGTAGTTAGGCGCCTCCTGTCCCCGACTGCCAGGCAGGGTGAGGGAGGAGAGTGAGGGAGGGGGGCCAAGGAGGATTCCGGGAATTCCTGTTGGGGTGGGGGTGGGGGGGGTTGGAGAGATAATCGAGTTGCTGGTCTTATTTTCTGCTGGAGTCTTTCCCACTCCAATTCCATCCTAGCTGCCTGTGGGTGCCCCAGGCCCTGACAGCCTTTTCCTTCCTCCCCTGGCTTTCTTCTCCTGGTCTCTGTCCCCATTACCCCATTCCCATCTCTCCATTCTTCCCCTACTCTTCTGTCCTTCAGACCCGTGTTCCTGTGCGGAGGGGATGTAACTGGGGAGTCAGGTTACGTGGCAAGTGAGGGTTTCCCCAACCTCTACCCCCCGAACAAGGACTGCATCTGGACAGTGACGGTGAGAAGGCCCCTCTGGTTACTACCCCTTATTAAAGTCTCTGAGGCAAAGGCCTGACTGCTAACCCCCACCTACCAGCACCACCTTCTGAACCTGGGGTTTGTCCAGGTGCTCTCCCCTTGGGTCACTGAGGGACCAGTCCCACAGTAACAAGTCCCTCACACCTTAGCTCTTAACACTGCCCTCAGATTCTGATTCTCTACTCCAGGCTTCAGTCTCTTTCTAATCTCTCCAAATACCTTATCTCTTGTCCCTTGCACAAGGCATGAGCTGGGCTGCAGAGACCAGGCCCTCCCTCTGCCCCGAATGGGGAAGGGGAGATGCCCTCTGCCTGGACTGTATGTGGCCTGACTGTGTGGGTCCCTACCATCAGGTCCCTGAGGGCCAAACTGTGTCCCTCTCCTTTCGAGTCTTCGACCTGGAGCTGCACCCCGCCTGCCGTTACGATGCTCTAGAAGTCTTTGCTGGGTCTGGAACCTCAGGCCAGCGGCTCGGACGCTTCTGCGGGACCTTCCGGCCGGCGCCCTTAGTTGCTCCTGGCAACCAAGTGACTCTGAGGATGACGTCGGACGAGGGCACTGGAGGACGGGGCTTCCTGCTCTGGTACAGCGGGCGGGCCACCTCAGGCACTGGTGAGACCTCCCTCACCTCCGCCTCCCTCTCTCCTGGCCCTGCCCTGGAAAGGCCCCGCCCCCAGCCCTAACCTTGACACACCCCCAGACGCCCCGAGCCCAAGAGCCTAGGGCCCCCAATACCTCCCTTACCCGTGTTCCTCACTAACTGCCCCTTCAGTCCCTCCTCCCCGTCTTCTCTCCCTCCTCCCGCACCCACCCACCCCTCTTCCAGGCCCCCCCCCAGGCGCGAGGCGAAAATGGGTCACCGACCCGCGGGTGGAATGGGCGGCCTGGGGTTACTGGGACGGTGAGTAACTGCCCGCCCCCGTCCGCAATCGGGCTCCTTCTGACTGGCGCGAGGAGGCACTCCAGGGCTGGGAGACTGTCTAGGTTCCCCCGACCTGGAGCCCCCTGCACCCAGCCTTGGGCTTCCGATTGCGGTCCCATCAACCCCTCCTGGCGGTAGAAGTCTTCCTTGAAATGTTTCAGGCAGGGACTTTCCCTAAAGGGGCCTTGAGGACTGTGCCCCAAATATAGGGCATCCTCACAGCGTAGGCCTTCCTGCCTGCAAAGGAAACTCTTCTGCCAGGCCGGGGAGATGGGATCTCTCAGGGGAAGAGGCGCGGTGTGGCCTCGGGTCTGGGAGGGACAAGAAGGGAGCGTATCCAATTTCTTCTCCCCCTTCCTCTGCCACCTGGGCGCCGCCGTTGAGATATCCCTGAGCCGCACTTATTTTGGCTCCCCCTCTGCTAACCTACCCCTGCTTTCCTCCCCTTCTTCTGGTCCCATCATCCTGAGATTCAGACGTCCTGCCCGGGTTCCCAGCCTAGAGCTCTCCTCAAGCTGACTTCGGGTCTCCACCGCCCCCCACCCCCGCTCCTTTCTCCCCTCCCCAGAGCACCAATTTTGCGGGGGGCGGCTGGAGAAGGCCCAGGGAACCCTGACCACGCCCAACTGGCCCGAGTCTGATTACCCCCCGGGCATCAGCTGTTCCTGGCACATCATCGCACCCCCAGACCAGGTACCGACCCCATGCCCGTGTTGCCCTTGGGGACCCAAGCAAATATTTATTGAACAACTTTTATGTCCCAAGCACTGAGCTTGAGCTGCTGGGCACCAAAACCAGACCCAGATCCTACTTGCATTCAAACAAAAAATGTAAAATTACAAGAGTGCCTGTGGCTCAAGCAACTAAGGCGCCAGCCACATACACCTGAGCTGGCTGGTTCGAATCCAGCCCTGTCCCACCAAACAACAATGACGGCTGCAACCAAAAAATAGCGTTGTGGTGGGCACCTAAAGTCCCAGCTACTTGGGAGGCAGAGGCAGGAGAATCGCTTGAGCCCAGGAGTTGGAGGTTGCTGTGAGCTGTGATGCTACAGCACTCTACCCAGGGCGAAAGCTTGAGGCTCTGTATCAAAAAAAAAAAAAAAGTACAAGAGTGACGAGTCTTAGGAGAGCAAGGTACACGGTGCAGATATAAACTGCCTAGTGCTTGGGGGGAGGCATAGTGGTGGAAGTCTGTCCCCGGACAGTGAGCCAGAAACTCGACTTAGCCAAGGACAGCGACGGACACCCCTAGAGGGTCCTGTGGATGTGTGGGATCCTCCAAGGTCCACACAGGAGGGGGGGCTGCTGCCTGTGCCCAGGTGGCAGCCGGGTGAGTGGTGAGAAGTACTGGCGCTGGGGTCCTGCCGCACAGCTGTGCCTTGGCTCGCCGCCAGGTCATCGCACTAACCTTCGAGAAATTTGACCTGGAGCCCGACACCTACTGCCGCTACGACTCAGTCAGCGTATTCAATGGAGCCGTGAGCGATGATGCCAAGAGACTGGGGAAGTTCTGCGGCGACGCGGTCCCAGGGTGAGGGGGCGGGACCTGGGTGGATGGTGGGTCCTGGGTTCCCCTCTCCCCCAGGTGAGAGTGTTAAGGGACCAAACGGCTGCTTTGAAAGGTGGGGCTCGGCTAGGCGCCTGTAGCTCAACAGGCTAAGGCGCCAGCCACGTACACCTAAGGTGGCGGGTTCGAATCCCCAGCCTGGTCCCGCCAAACAACAATGACGGCTGCAATCAAAAAATGACCAGGCGCTGTGGCGGGCGCCTGTAGTCCCAGCTACTTGGGAGGCTGAGGCAGGAGACTCTCTTGAGCCCAGGAGTTGGAGGTTGCTGTGAGCTGTAATTGTAATGCCATGGCACTCTACCCAGGGGGACAGCTTGAGGCTCTGTCTCAAAAAAAGAAAAAAGAAAGGTGGGGCTCAGCGGAAGGCTCGGGATCTGGATTCTAGGCTCCAAATGGGCGGAGCAGGCAGCCAGGCAAAGAGGAGGCTTCCCTCCTGGCATTGGGGTCCGTGGGCGAGTAGGAGTCTGCAAAGTCAGTGCAGCTGACTGGGAGTGGCGTTTAAAAGACCACCTGACTGGAGAGGAAGCGGGGGTGTACAGCCCACCCTGAAACCTCCCTCAATATCCTCCACCTGCAGCCCCATCTCCTCGGAAGGGAACGAACTCCTGGTACAGTTTGTCTCTGATCTCAGCGTTACCGCCGACGGCTTCTCAGCCTCCTACAGGATCCTACCGCTGGGCGCTGTCCAAGAAGGGACAGCCCGGAACCCAGGAGAGGAAGCCCCACTCCTTGGCCCTGGCACTAAACTGGAAACTGGACCCAAAGTCAAGACACCCACCAAGCCCCAACTCCCACCTACAGAGAAATCAGAGGCAACTCCAGTAGGCCCGGGTGAGTATAGGAAGAGAGGAAAAAGGGACAGGGACTGAAGGGAGGTGTTTCGAAAAGTTCCTTCTTGGTTTATTCATTTATGGATTCCTCAACATTCACTGTGCCTCCTGCCAATGGCGGGTACTGGGTGCTGGGACCCAAAGCTGGATAGAGCTCTAAAGGAGTTCAAATCAATGAGGCTGTTACAGAGAAAATGGTCCTCCCTACCTGCTGAGTAGGTCACCCTCTATTTGCCCCCACTTCTTCCTAGATACAATCAGTGTCCCCTGCCCAAAGCAGTGCCGTCGGAAAGGCACCTTGCAGAGCAACTTCTGTGCCAGCAACCTGGGTAAGAAGTCCTCACCCCTGCTTCCAGCTCCTCTAACCACCTCCACTCCTAGTTCCAGTCCTGCCCCGGCCTCCTGTCTCATCTCTTACGCCCATTCTCCCACAGTGGTCACTGCAACAGTGAAGTCCATGGTCCGGGGCCCAGGGGAGGGCCTAACTGTCACTGTCAGTCTCATTGGTGTTTACAAAACCGGAGGACTGGACCTGCCCTCTCCACCCACTGAAACCTCCCTGAAGTTTTACGTGCCTTGCAAGCAGTGCCCCTCCATGAAGAAAGGTAACAAAGATGTGGGGAATTGAGGAGAGAACTTACTACACTAAGATGACTGAGGTGTACAATGTGAGGGGATGCATTGCATGACGTGTGATCAATGACAGGAACTCACAATTCATCCCTCTCTCCCCCAACCCTCAGGAGCCAGTTATCTGCTGATGGGCCAGGTGGAAAAGAACAGAGGTCCCATCCTTCCTCCAGAAAGTTTTGTGGTTCTCTATCGGCCCAACCAAGACCAAATCCTCACCAACCTAAGCAAGAGGAAGTGCCCCTCCCAACCAGCACCAGCTGCTGAGTCCCAGTCCTGAAACCCTTAGGTCCTAGTCCTAAGCCTCCCTTTTTAAAATTTTTTTAGACAGAGTCTCATTATGTCACCCTCGGTAGAGTGCTGTGGCATCACAGCTCACAGCAACCTCAAACTCTTGGGCTCAAGTGATTCTCTTGCCTCAGCCTCCCAAGTAGCTGGGACTACAGGCGCCCGCCACAACACCCAGCTATTTTTTGTTGCAGTTGTCACTGTTGTTTTAGCTGGCCTGGGCTGGATTCGAACCTGCCAACTTCGGTGTATGTGGCTGGCGCCGTAACCACTGTACTACAGGTGCTGAGCCAAGCCTCCCTTTCTTTTATCCAAATAAATGTTTCTTAATTGAGGAAGGTGTCAGGTCTCCATTTCTGTGGTTTAAGGGCCTATCGTGGGAATTTTGCTTCCTGCTTTCATTCATTTACTTAGCAGAATTTACTATACATAATTGTTTAAGAATTAAGTCACATATTGTCACTCCTTTTCTCAAACCCCCCCTGTAGTTTCCCATTGGTCTAGGAATAAAATGCAAAATCTTATTGTGGGTTCAAGGCTCTAGATAATATGCATTCTCCCTACCCCTCATCTCTTACTACTGTCTCCCTTGCACCCATTAGTTCCAGTCACATTGGACACTTCCTTTCTCATATCTAGTACACATCTGGCTTGGGTCTTTGCTGTTTTCTCTGTCCAGAGTTCTCTTCCTAAGTCCAGTCAGATCTCTGCTCTAAGCTCATTCTAGTCAATCTTTCATTTGTTCATTCCAAAAGGCAGGCACTGTTTTAAGTGCTGAAAATACAACAGAAAACAAAGTCCCTGTTCTAGCGGTGAGGAGAAAACATTTTCCCAGAGGAGAAACAGTAAGATGTCAAGCAGCACTGTAAGTGCTATAAATAAAACACAGACATGATAGGGGGTCAAAGGGGTATGAGAGAACAAAGGGGAATGATGTGGGGCTAAGGGAAGGCTTTCAGATAAGATCAACTATGTTTTTGGTAACTAATTATGTGGCTTAAGGTGAAATTTCTTCACCTTACCCAGTCCGTTTCCTCGTCTGTAAAAGGTGTCGAAGATTCGAAGCGGCAGGGTTTGGCAAATCTTAATTTCCTGTGCAAATGTGAGTGGTTTGCTTACAGAAAGGAGCGGGGCAGGAGGCAAGCCCTGCCTGGGCTGAGATCAGAGTCCCAGCTGGGAGCAACCTCCAACTAGTACCACGGAAAACAGGCTTTAGTTTCTGCAGAGGATTCTAGGAGAGCCAGGAATTGAGGAAAAGGGATTCCTTGTGGGAAATCTGGCAATTTGGACAGCACAGAGTGGCACAGAAAAAACAAAGCCGCACTCAAAGTCCCGCCCCCGCCTCTCCGAGTTATTCGGCGCTCCAGTTCCAGCCAGAGACGCCAGTGAAATCCTTACGCACCTGTGATCAAGCCAATCGCAGGGGCTGGAGGGAGGGGCATCTGTGTGGTCTTTAAGCGTACCAATCGACGTGTACTTACGGCGGAAACGAGGCATCCCTGGCCAATGACAAAGGTCGTACGGCGGAAGTGCAGAAGAGACTCTCGTGAACCTGCCATCCTTGGTCTAGCCACAAGCTGATTGGCAGATGCTTTGACCACAAGGTTAGTGTCACAGCACGAGCGGCCGTTCGGAGGCGGAAGCTGGCTAGGGCCGGGGCCCGAGTTCAAGGGAGGGATCTGAGACGCAGATAAGGTCTCCCGGAAAGGAGGCCGCTGCAACAGGCGAAGACTGGGAGAGGGGAATAGGTGGGACCCGAAGCGGAGCGGTGTTTATGAGGACCGCGAACGGGACCTCCAGTAAAGGCCCGGGCTGGAAGCGGAGAGAGGCCGGGTGTAATGGGGTGGGCGTGGCGGTCCAGTGGGGCTTTAGGGGCGAATCTGAAGGAACCTGGGGCAGAGCTGAAAGAGGGAAGAGTTTGGGAGACCTTGGGCCGGGTCTGCGGTAGACCCATTCAGCGGGGTTCGGTGGCAGCAATTCAGCTCCTGCCCCACGAGCTCATCTTGTCCTCTTTCGCCCCTCACACCACCAGGTCTACACTCCAGGCCCTGTCCCCTGAGCTCTGCCCTCGGATGTCCGACCGCCCAGAGCCTGCATGCGCCGTGGGGCGCCCCAGGACCAGGAGCTGGTGGGCCCAGGGGCCCCTGGCCGGGGGTCCCGGGGCGCCCCTTCTTCTTTGGGACCGGTTGTCCCGGTCCTTGTATTTCCCCCGGATCTAGTATTTAGGGCAGACCAGCGGAGCGGACCCCGGCAGCTGTTGACTCTCTATAACCCCACAGGAACTGCGCTTCGTTTCCGAGGTAAAGGGATGGGCTCCTCATGCAAAGGATCTGAGGACTAGTGGCAGGACATTGGGGGTCTAAATGGGACGGAGGAATCAGAAGGGTAGGGTCAAACGTCCAGCCTTGGAGTATAAGGGAACTCTAGCCACCCACCTTGGGCAGGGCTTGCAGAGGTCCTCTTTTCGTGTCTTTATTCCTCAGTTCTGTGCACAGCACCTGCCAAATACAGGGTGTTTGACGCAGAAGGCTATGTGAAGCCTCAGTCCTGCATTGACATGTGAGTTGGGAGGGTGGGGAGGCTGAGAAACCAGGGGTCACTGCCACCTGTTTTCTTAGGTCTGAGACCTTGTTGTCTTTAATATCTTTTCCTCACCTTATCTTCTCCCTAAGGGAAAGGCTTCTTCTGTTGGGGGGAGGCCTGGATTTACTTGTTTTACTGTCTCTCATTCACTTCCCCTCAATGGGCCTCTCTCCTACCTTGGAACCAGTGTGATTCGCCATGTGGCTCCCATTCCCAGCCACTATGATGTCCAGGACCGCTTCCGCATTGAGCTGTCTGAGGAGGGTGCTGAGGGCCGAGTGGTGGGAAGAAAAGACATCACCTCAGTTCTGAGAGCCCCAGCATACCCCCTTGAGCTTCAAGGACAGCTGGACCCAACACCCCACCCTGGGCCTCCTGCTGGGACAGCCCCACCCACAGCCAGACACTTCCAGGAGAGTGAGTTGGGAAATGGGGATTCTTGAGTTCTGTAGAGAGGCAGGAGCTAGTACCACCCTAGAGATGAGTTATGTTGAATTTGAAGAGGTCTCCTGGTCAGTCTTTTGCCTTTTGGTGGAGAAGTTACTAGGAGTTGAGATTTTATATCAATTAAGGGGGAAAAAAGATGTAATTTCTCTGGTTTTGACTTCTACTTAGAGGAAGTATTTTTCCTTAGCTCTAACTGCAGTGTTTCCTATCATGTGCCACCTTATTTCAGTTCAATAGGGAACCTGTATTGATCAATTAAAGTTGTACCAAGTTGTGTGCTGGGTGTAGGAGTTGGAGAATGGTTTCTGTCTGTCAAGATAGTTGCATAGAAGATAGTTGTAAAGACAGAGTGAATGGTGAGGGACCAGAAGAGACAAAGTTTCTTGTGGTTGTGGGGACAGAGACTCCAGAGAAGACACAGCATGCCCCTAAAGGGCATAAAAAGTAGATATACCTTCCATGTTCAGCCTCCTTTCTAAGCCATTGGGCTGGGCAACAGTGGACACTGCAACTTCTGATGAGTCTTATTTCACAGACCCCCACCAGCAACTGGCCACTAGCTCCTTCCTCCTGTTCTTGCTGACGGGGATCATCTCTGTGGCCTTCCTACTGCTCCCACTTCAGGATGAACTTGGCAGCCAACTGCCTCGAGTCCTGCACGTCTCCTTAGGACAGAAGTTGGTGGCAGCCTATGTGTTAGGTGAGCATGGTTGTAGATGGGGATCCAAGTCCCAGAGCAAGGGGATCATGGGCTGGAGGGAGAGCTAACAGAATCCTTTGGCTGCTTATCCACTCTGCTGTTTCTTTGTCCCCTCTCCAGGCCTCCTAACCATGGTGTTCCTCCGGACCTGAGCCCCCTGCTCAAACTGCCCCCCCCACCCCTGACCTGGGCAGGGACTTGAAACAACCACTGTGATGCCCTTACCTTGCCTCAACTCCTTTCTTCACTTCTTGCCCACCCCACCCTCCACAAAAATACCCAGGGATTTGTACTCATTTTCCAAGTTCAATAAAGTACATTTTTAAAATGAAAATGAGAAATGTAGGGTACTTGCCTCTGTCTTTTTTGGTACCCACACAGTAAAGAGGCCTACTGAGGAGCTAGAAAACCTGGGTTACCCTGGGTGCTGCATCAGAAAAACTGTGACCTTGAACAAGTCTTTTTCTTTTACCTCTAAAATGAGAGCAATGGGCAGGTTTATTCTTTTTTTTT